ATGTTATATGTGATTATATACTTGTGGGGGTAAAAATGGATAATAATTTTGAAGAGAATGGTGAGTTAACTTTTTTTTTTTTCTGTGTGAGGGATCTGATACCTGACCAACTAGAATTATCCACCTGCCTCAGAGCTGGGAGAGGAAGATAAGGTGGGCAGCCTTGGCTTTATTATGCCCAATATACAAAGATAAAGGAATTGCTACCAGTTTTCAACTGCAAAAATATAATTGTAAAACCTACTTCAGGGATACTCCACACCTACTTGAAAGCCAGGTGTTGTTAAGAGGCAAAACAATTTCTAAATTTTTTAAGCTCTCACAAACAAATTAAGTGTGAAGCCTGAAAGACTTGAATGTTCAGCGGACTATAAACCGTGGGAATACAGAACTCAGGAGATGATGCATGAAAAGTCCCTGCTGCACTGCAATGAGAGAAAGTTGACTCTTGGTTTCTGTGGAGTGTGGAAAGGAGAAGGGTTGAGAGGGAAGTGCTCAGTTAGACACCTTTATGACAGCTTTACCTTTTGTGAGCTGAAATCCTGGATGGGAAGGTAAGTGTTAGGCAGGTTGAGTAGAAAGCCTGAAGCAGAGGCCTGACTGGGCCTCTGTGGGCAGAACGTTCCCCTCATTGATATGGAGGGCCTTTGTCCAAATGAAAAATGTTTACACCGTGTGGCTACGCAGAATCTGATGTAGCAGATGAAAGTTGGCTCTACTGTAGGAAGGGAGCAATACTGAATTTCTCGCATGCTTTTGGGGATGCGGAAGTTACCTGAGTTGAGAGCCAGTGGAGTTACCCAGTGGGCCTTATAGTCAAAGATAAGATGACCCTAACAATCATCTCAGGGTTCCGTAAATTGACCAAAGGCAGACAAGTTGAGAAAGCATTTATTCTTGAAAAACTGCTAGGGTTGGATAAGAACAGTGGGAGTTTGTAGCCTTTAGCCATCAGAGGGGCAGACCTGATTTCGTGAGGTGATGGTGGAGTGTGAAAATGGCAATATCTATAGAAAACAGCAGGAAGAATCTGAAGTTTTAAGTCCAGGAGAGTACTGAAAGAAAAAATTCTCAGAAAAATAATCAGAATCCAGAGTAGCTATAACATATTACCTACAAGTCCAGTTTTCAACCAAAAATTACAGTACTTGCAAGGAACCAAGAAAGTCTGACTCAGATTCATGAAAAAAAAATCAGTGTGTGTGTGTGTGTGTGTGTGTGTGTGTGTGTGTGTGTGTGGTGTGTGTGTCTGTATGCATACTCTGTTTTCTTAATTTCTTTAAAAAAAACCTAAGGTTTAAAACAATGATCATAACACCGCATCATTGGCTTTATAACATATAGATTAATACATATTATAATAATGGCAGAAATGAGGAATCAGAACATGGAGATCTATTACAGAAAACAATGTTATATTTTACCAGAATGAAGTCAGTATTAATCTGAAGTAGATGGTAAATTAAAGATGCATATTATAGCCTCTAGAGCAACTACTAAGAAAGTAACTCTTTAGAAAAGGTAAAATTCAACAGAGGAATTAACATGGTATAATAAAACATATTTGAAATACAATTTTAAAGAAGTAAAGGAGAAACAGAAGGACAAAAAAAAAAAGACATGAGGCATAGAGAAAACAAATAGCAAAATGGCAGGCATGAATTCAGATTACCTGGCAACCCCAGGTTTTGCTTGACATGAGGTATAAAAGAGACAATGGGGGGTGGCAGAGGCTGTGGACAACCAAAAAGTGAAGACTGGACAGCAGTTCCCTTTAGATGGGGTCTGCATTTGCCATTTTTCCACAGTTTCTATGACTCAATTGCATTCACTTTCTGCGCTCACTTCACTGACTTTGTTACTTGACAACGAGGTGTGTTTTCTCCATCACAGAGGGGTCAGTATCCCTTCCTGATCCCATGGGCTCTCCCTTTGCAGATGCATATATCCAATGGGAGCTCTCAAACCTTCCCAGAAATTATATTTAAATCATTTATAGTTGTTATATTTAAATATTTAAATCATGCATAATTTATGTAAAAATTAAATCATTTTATTCTCTTTCTTAGGGGTAGGGATTGAGTGGTTTAAATATGGAACGGATCTATTTAAATTTTTATGTAAAGTTGGGAAAATGTAAAACATTTTGTTGACATTAGAGATACTAGTGTAATTTTATGTTATTATTTGTAACACCAGTTTATAAATGAGGCAACCAAGGCTCAGAGAGTTCTTGAACTCTGTACCTGGTCACATTGCAATCCAAGCTTCTTCCAAGGGGAAGTATTTTTGCACTTACGAAAAAGAAAGAGAAATCAGGAAGTCAGGCAAAGTCTTAAAAATAAATTAATGCCATGGAAAAAAAAATTTCTTTTCTAGATCTCATAAAAATGAAAGAAACTTGTTTTTTCATTTTAGACTGGGCTAGATGTCTTCCATGTTCCACTGGAGAATTGGAGGGATTTCAGCTGGAGAAGCTCTGGAGCCAGTGCTAAAATAATTACTCTATAGTATATTTCATTTTTTAAAAGCTGAGAAGAGAGTTGTTTCAAAATTTTGAGAAGTCATAGTTCAAACATAGATAACAAGTTGGTTGTGTTTGCTGTTTTGGCCTTACTCATATCCAAAGTTTCAGGCACCAAGGGGGAAGTGTTTACATATTTTTGTACAGTACAACTTAAGGAGTCATAAAATCTTACACCCTCATCTTTTCTGCTGTACTAGATTAGAGTTCTCAATCATTGAATGACACATTAATTGTTCACCTTTACACTAATCGGAGAAGTTTTGTTGCAGTTTCTGTCTCTTGACCTTATTGTACTTTGGAGTGTGAAGCTGTCCCTCAGATCATTTTGAATATAAACAAGATGGAGACAAGACTTGTCTATAGCTCAGCGTATGGCTAAACAACATGAGTGGCCCACTTGATCCAGTTTTATTCTAATTTTAGGGTTTCAACTGGATTTTTATAGTTACCCATAAAAGTCCCAGTTGGGTGCTTCCCTGGTGGTGCAGCGGTTGAGAGTCCACCTGCCAGTGCAGGCGACACGGGTTTGTGCCTTGGTCTGGGAAGATCCCACATGCCGCGGAGCGACTAGGCCCGTGAGCCATGGACGCTGAGCCTGCGCTTCCGGAGCCTGTGCTCCGCAACGGGAGAGGCCACAACAGTGAGAGGCCCGCGTACCACAAAAAAATGATTTTTTGACTTGGGATGCAGACAATACACTTATTTCATTTGTTTTCTCAAGTTCAAAGCCACTTTGGAATGACTCTGTTGAGTTGCTTTTAGAAGTTTTTACACTCATGTGACCAGTCTCCGTAAATCTTTGTCCTTGACTCTGATTTTTGGAAACAAAGGAAAATTTAGAGCCACGTTTGGGGTAAAAAAATGTGTGACTATGTGGTAGTGAAAAGCTGTTTCTCTTGGGTGGTTTGGTTTGAAAGCTGACTCAAAGGTAATTAAAAAAAAAAAAAAAGAGCTCAATAGTGCTTTGAGGGATGGCCTTTACTTCTTCCAGATGTCAGTTACCCTTTCCACTAAGCTCTCGTAATATCCTATGTGTGATTCTATTACGCATATATAATTTGGGTTTTAGTTTTTTGTTTACTACCTTCACCCTGTTTGATCAGACTGAGATCCACTTGGGAAAGATATACTTCTGTGCATCTTTGATATTGTTGGAGACCACTGACATTGTTGGAAGCCAAGAGATTGAACTGAAGGGTTCATTATTGAATGAATGAATCAATCAAGCAATATGAATGGAAAGCATCCCAAGTTAACTATTTTAAAGGGGACAACACACACCTTATATGTTAAGCATCCGTTCTCATTTAAAAAAAATTTGTATATATTCCTGAAATCAAAATGATTTGAAAATTAATTGATATCGGATGGTATAACTTTCCTTGGTCACTAAAGTCAGTTCCGGGTATGGAAAGTCATTGTTTTCTGCTTGACAACCAAGACTCACGTCACTACACACTTGTGGTTTTTCTAATTGATGAGCAAGGAATGTAAAAGTTGTAGAATCAAAGGTGAAGCAAAACCCACCAAGAATTATAGCCTCTACTGTTCGTGTCCTAGTTCAAAAACAAAGTACCAAAGTATTCCGGACTGTTGAAATTTTTGACTATGCTAACAAGTATCGGCGGCAATCTCAGGAGAGCGCAGCGCGGACACTTTGAAGCTTTCGATGTATAAGGTCTAAAAGAACTAATAAACAAATAAAGCAAGAGCAGCCCTCGCCCCCAGCACAGAAACCACGGAAAACCACAGAAAATTATATCTCTTTTATGTGTGCATTTTAAGGTTGGATGGTCCTGAGGAGCGTAGGTAGTGGATAGCAGGGCTTTGAGGGAATTCTTGTGTTTCTACGTAGGAGACAAAGGTCGCTTCCCCCAACGCTTGACCCCATAGCCTCTCTGCTTGTCCATCCAGAAACACACAGGTCTGTCCTGACTGCACTCTCCCGCCTTTGAGAAGCTGCACTGGCCCGGCGGCCGGATCCTCCCTCTCCTACGCTCTATTTTGAGGCCCCATGATCTCATGCCCTCTGCAGACCACGCTCTGCAGTTCCAGTCCAGCCCGCGCCGCGAGACCACGCAGGGTGATTCCTGCAAGTGTTCGGCTGGTGGCCGGGGCGCTAGGCGGGAAAGGCTGGGGGGAGTGGGAGGGGGGGAGTTAAAGACGCGCCCACGTAAAGGACCCAAAATAACCCACACGCAGAGCGCCGGCCATCAGACAGGAAGCCAAATAATCCGGGGCGTTGAGCTGCTTTCCCCTCATTCGCAGCGCCGGGCTGCGGGGGCCGAGCCAAGGGTCTGGCGGCGAGGGGC